CATTATCCTTACAAAGCTCGAAATGTTCCCTGATTAACTATTAGAATCTGTTTGCTCTCACAGCGCAGTTTTCTCTAATTAACTATGAGACCCAACAATACTCTAAAATAGTACTAATTTTTCTCAAAAAAGGGGTCTGCCCATAACCTTTGCGCCATGTTTGTTCATTTATATTTTAGTTATCTTCATCGTTATGGTCGTCTCTACAAGTCATGATTGATACTCTGGTACCCTTGTGCAAGGTCCTGACCGGATATTTTCACTAACTACACTAGGAATGTAGCTACTCCATTTCATGCATCTGAGATTGCCATCTATAGTCTAGTTTTATAACGACCATCATTGAAGGTTAGTTCGTCTATTAGCGGTCAACTTGCACTAAAAAGCCAATTCTGGGAAGCTAACTAAACATCCCGTTTTGGTCATTTTGTAATTGAGACTTGATTCCCGTGCCGCATTAACATTAATGCCACTTTTGTCTGGGACATTTTTTGGTCTAAATGAATTTCTTTTGATAGCTCAACTATCATAGCTAAAGTCAATTTAAGATTTTCTCTAGTTTCACCTTCTTCAATCCACTACTTTTAGGTTATGTTTCCGCAGCGGCATCCCTTTACATACTGATTCATTTCCCAATGAACAAATTTGCACCGTTATTCTTAGGGCGATCGACTTTTACTTCAAAGGAATGAGCCGAAGAAAAGTCCACTTTTCTGTTGATTACGAGGTTTTCTTGAAAATTTCGGTCCTAAACTCCTCGTGGTCTGATAAAAGTCACCCAGATATTATCATGGGTTGATATGCTATATTGTGAATAAGAATTCCATGTGGCTCCTATTCATCAAATTTCATCCATATCCCACAAATATTTTTGTGGGATATGGTCCATTTTTTTAAGGTCCGCAATGAGATTATCCGGAAAATATTTATTATACAGGCGTTCTTATTTCGGAGTTATATATATTTTCTAATGCTATAAAACAAATATGCCCTTGCTTTTTATTTAGTGTAAATTGGCTATTTCCCGAGAAAGGGGTGCTTTTACCGAAGGCTCATAATTTCCGGACTAACCCTTGGAATTAGTTCAAAATTTCAAAATATAATACATGATGTTGTTTGCCACTTCATATCATATCCTAAAGTTTTGACTACTTGCATTCATTTGGGCCTGGAAACGACTTCCGGACTTCGGTATGGGGAATACTTGCTAAGGGCATAATACCGGAATTAAAAGTCCAAGCGGGTCTGGGGTTCTGAACTTAAACTACCTTGAGTTCTGTTATTTGCACCTGCTGGAACCATTATCACTTGCCTCAAGGGAGTCCCAGGGGCCCAGAATGTTGTATACCGGCTCAAATCATCTCTAGTATCCGTCCAATGATTTTCCAAAAATTGGCTTCCTAAGTACCTATTTGAGGGTGGGGGATTATCACATCCTACTTCACTTGGTTTTCAGCCACAGGAGGGACTAATTATTCAAAGATTAGTACTATTTTGCACTTAACAGTTTGTTTTTCTTTTCTACTTATCGTTTTGATAAGTCAATACTAAGTTAAGTACTACTTATAAGTTGTGTTATACTTTATGCAATTTTCAAGGTAAAACTATCTCTCAGCTGAATTTTTGGTCGCCAAAAATGTCTCAGGGTCACCGATTCTTCAAATTGCACAAATATTGGAAAAAGCTTTTGCAAACAAGTTTGATGCTACAAAATCTTTCTTTCTATTCAAAGTTGTTGGAAAAAATAGAAAAAAGGAAAAAATGTAGTTCATGGAAATAAAATCGATAATTGCAAAATTAAAAAATGAACAGAGTTGGGCTCCGCCCCCACCTCAAATGATCAATGCGTTAATGGTATGGCAATTAGTTTTACAAGGTTAGGTATAAAGGCTGAATTTATTTGTATGGCCTTATTAGTCTGCAAGTCAATTTCATAACAATCGGGTCACTCGGACAAAAATTCCCTGGCAAAAACTTGCCGTTCGGGGTGAAAAAGAGCCCAGATTTCTCGTCAGTCATTTTTTTCTCGACTTTATGTTTGATTTTTAGAAGGATTGTTCCCCGTAGAAAGACACATGGTGATGAATACGTGTTGATGATAAATTCATAAATCGGGTAACTTGATCTAGGGATATATTGGATAGGGTAGTGTCGAGCCTACGAAGTTTTATTGGCTCTTTTTCCTTCCCCCCACCTGAAAACCTGCAAATTTTTATATTTGAAGTTGCTGTTCATTTTGTCCAATTGTCATGAAGATTTAAATGCAGACAAATTAGGCCATGACAAACATATTCGATCTTCTTAAATAATCTTGTAAAACCTCTCGTTAGACCATAGAATTCATGTTTGAGTGAGGTGGGGGGGGGGGGGGGGCTGGAAGACATCCTGCGAGGCTTTGGTTTTTATTGATTTGATCAATACGCCACGAACCTAAGGCAGTAATAAAATTTAACAATGAAGTCACAGAAGCACTTTGACTTCTGCTTTTTCTCCATATTTAACTTGATCAAATAAAGTCAGTTTTTGAGGGTTCGGTGAGTACGCATTTTCAGAAACTTTTTTTTTATAACGTTTTGTTATTCGTTTAACCGAATAATTTGCCGTTCGCATAAAACAGTCACAGAAAATTGTTAAGCAAACAAACAAAAATTTGTTTTTTTATCAGACTGCTGGGGAAAATTAAGATCAAACTCATTGAGTGTTGTCAGAGGAGAAAAAAATTGACTCTTTTCCAGTTTTCCACCCCCTTGATAAATTACGAAACAAACTGTTCAAAAATTGTTCACACGACATTTTTTAAGTTAGAAATGTGGTAAAACTGTGTTCACATACTTACGCGGACACGTTTCAATGCAGTTTTTGGCTCTTTTTCCTTCTCCCCCCCACTTGCAATTTTCAATTTTTTATAACTAAAATTACTTTTCACATTGTCCGATTGTCATGAAAATTGACTTGCAGACTAATTAAGCTATGAGAAACATATTTGGTCTTCATAATCAACCTTGTAAAACCACACTCGTTAGACAATAAAAATGATGCTTGTGTGAGGTAGGGGGGGGGGCAGTTTTTAACATGAAAAGATATTTTAATTAGACGTTCATTTAATGAATATCAGAAAAAATCAAACTGGAAAAGAGTCAAAAAATTTTAGAAGCTCACTAGTGAACCAAGAAATTTAGGTATCGGAGATCCAGAAAAATATGAAGAAGTTTTGTCAACCAGTGTTTGTCACAGTTTCTCTTTGTTTGTTGCTATTGATATGGGGCTATCGACAGAAGTACCTTATTGTCTGGGATACCCACCATGACGTGGAATTAACAAAGTTTGAGAATTTCACTTCAGATTCCAATTTCATTGCAAAAAATTGCATATATCTGCTGAATACTTCCCGTTGGATGGAAACTACAATGTCAAATGCGAAGTTTTGTTTTCCGAGTGGCGATGCATACATTCGCAACATCGTGGTCAAAGATGGTAACTACGAAATAGCTTTGCAAAAAATTCTGTTCAACAACTACTTTACTCTGTTTCCAGGTATGTTGTGCTATTTCCCGTACTATTCAGTAAACAACCGGAAGTCAAATATCTGTTTTTGGTAAAGAAGTAGAGAACGAACTTATTTCTGTACTGACTGCCAGCAATCCCCAATGGGCTAGTCCCCTTTTGCTATTATGGGCCGCTGTATTTGATGACAGCCATTTTCGCGGACCAGCTATAATATTTTTTTTCTCAAAACGTGAGATTCGAGATTTTTCCTCAGAGCTATATTATTTTTTCGTAAGTGAGCCATCAGTAGTTTTTGGCTCTTTTCCAGTTCCCCCACCCCTTTGAATTTTTCTGAAATTCAATATATGAAAGTGTACTTAAAATGACTTTTCAAGTAATAAATTGCAAAAAACCTTGCCAGCGTGAGCATGTCAACAAATTTTTACTACAATTTTTAGATGCAAAACGCCCTGTGAACAATTTTGGACCAGCTTTATTTAGTTTTTCACAAACTAACTTTGAGCATAGCCTAGATTAGTTCATAATTGACCATAATAGTACAGAAAATTGAATTAAAACATTAATCTAGATAATTAACAGCATAGGTAATTGATTTCAA